TAATGATTGTGTAACAAATGTTTAGAATTTTGTTGGTAACATATAAAACATGATTGAACTAGTATGGAACATTTATTATATAAAATTTAACTAGAAAGATATAATGGAAGTTTCTGCAGTGTGATTGTCTCTTATGAGTGCTCTAGCTGTTCATTAGAAGATTAAGAGTATTGTCTTTACTTGAAAACTACTACTGTTTTTAAAGAATTAATGAGTTATTCTGACTTTTGGTGGCTGCTTATTAATGCTGTAAGTGCTTTCGTTTAGAAGACAAGGAGTGGCTGCTTATTTTTGGTTGAAAACTACTTTAACATTCTCTTTTACTTTGTTTTCTTTTTCAGCTTGCTTCAGCGTTCATGTTAGGGGGTCAGAGTATATTCCTTTGCTTGGAAGTTCTGATCCAAATTACTCCTTCTTGGGTTTGCCAGATCTGGAATCATGAACTAGCAGCAGATCTAGGCCCCTGGTAAGAGTATTAGTCTTGTTCTTATATTTTCATGTGTAATACTCTAATAAAAAATTTCAATTCACAACTTTATCATAATATATTTTTGAGAGAACAAAAGGAACATACATTGAACAGCAAGAAAACAACTATTCTCTAAGGTGGATTAGCTGTGGAAAGTCCATGCAACATCATAGATGTAATAGTTGAATATCAATTAACGATAGAAGGATTACAAATTATTGGTTGGCAACATAAAAAATGCTTACGTTGTACTACATTCATTATTTCCTGAAGAAGTACTTCTAATATCGATTAAATTTCTGGAAATAAATATGAAAAAAAATTAAAGACTTCTACTCTTAGTATTTTTTCCTTCCTGCTAATGTGTTTAAATGCCTACTCATAGTCATATTAGTTAAAAGACTGAAATAAATATCAAAAACAATATTAAGGAGTTTGTCTCTTAGTTTGTCTGCCTTCCTGCTAATGTGTTTAAATTACTCCTCACGTAGTCATGTTAGTTAAAAGTCTTGATCTAACAGTGGATTTTTTGATGGATCTCAGTGTGTTTGTTAATCATTTGTCCAAAGGATCAATTTTGAACTCCATATTCATCACTAATCATGAGAAGATGTGTTTCCATTATATAGTTAATATAATGGAAAAATGAAGGTTTCCTCTTATTTAGTTATTTCTTTAGATGAAAGAAAATTTGTATCTGATTAGATCTTGCATAATATTGAATAGAACATCAACTGAGATTCTGTTGTGTCTTGATGCTCATTCGATCTCCCACGTTTGGATATGCAGCTTCAATGTGCATTATTATTGTACGTGTGAATGGGAGCATGTGCTGTCTGCAATTGCATGAAAATATGATTCCATATGTGATTCATGTTTCTTTTCTTTTTCCTATTGTTCCACTATCACTGTAGTTATGGCATTGTAATATGATGTCTCCATGATAATATGTCACCTGAGCACATAGATCTGGACCTGCTTTTGTGGTTTCAGTTTGAAAGGATATTCAATGAGGAATGCGGTCTCGTAGATCTTGATTTGACAACAGCATATATTTACCTATCAATATTTTAGACTTGATTAATTTTTTTTATTTCTGCAGAGTTATGTTTTAGTTTAAGCATTAACAAACCACAATATATGGCTGCATATATGCCTGCATATGACAAATGCATTATATGATGCCTTGACCACCCATGGACTGACTGGATTTGCTTTTTATAGAACTTGATGACTTTAGAACTTTAAAATTTGTAAGATAATGATGAAGTGTATAAATTTAAACTTTAGTTGCAATAGGTCAAGGGATTGAAGGTCAGTTGTAAATTGTAATGGATTATCAAGAGGTGCATAAAATTGATGGTTTTATGTACCTCCTTTCCATCATCCAAGGACATGAATAGATTAAGAATATATTGCTCGTAGAAGAAGAGTAAAATAATAAAAGTGAAAGGTGCACCTTTCAGGTAGATCTTCTGAATTCTAAGTATATATACAGAAACATGTAGAGAGCACCCATGGTCTAGGTCACAATGTTGACCAGTTAGGAAGCAACATATCGAGCAAGTTCATAGTTAACATTAGGATGTTGACATTGATGATTAGTTTGAATTGGAGGTTACATGAGAGAAAAAATCATCCAAGTAGCACAAGGATTCTTTTGCTGCACAAGAGATACCAAGGATAGGGATAGAGATAGGATGTTGACATTATCTGTTTGCTTGCATGCATTTCTGCTCATTTTTGCTTGTTAAACTCGGTATCAAATAATGGAATTTCTCGTACTTCCATGTCTCGAGACAAAATGGTGCCTTTTATTGATGTTTCTAAAATTCTTTGACTGTTAGGTTTATGTCCCCTGTGGAATGGCCCATGCTGACAAACAAATGTTGGAAGCAAACCAAGTTGGTCCACTGTCCTAGTGCTGCATGGTCATAATGCGTCGCCTGTGGAAGGTACTAAATGTGGTTTTATCTTCATATTGGCACTGTTAAGATCCTTAAATGTAGTATCACTTGAGTCGCCCCCTTTTTTCCTCCTTGTGTGAAATATACTTGTTAGATCTGGTGGAGAACATAATCCATGAGGGAAGAAACTTAAAACAAGGTGAACAAACGAATATATTACCTGTCCTCAAGTTAACTCTTTTGTGGCTTAGCAGCTGAAATTTGCATCGTTTGATGGTTCCTTACATCCTGATCCGAACTTTATCATGCTTCTGTGATGGAAGATCAGTTAACCAGCGATAGTGGACAGGTAATATAATCTATTTTTCTGTGAATTATATCAGGTCAGAAATATGATTGTCTTTCTCTTTCATTTCTCCTGTTAATTCAGGTAACATGAGCATTAGGTAAAAACCAAATGAAAACAGGAATTATTAAAATTAGCAATTTAGCTGAAGCCAAACAGAAAAACACAAGTTTACAGATTATCTAGACAGAGTGAAGCTGGAAACTAGTGGCAGACAAAGAAAACATAGAAAAGAATTAAAGATAGATTGCTATCTGCTAACTGCAATATGAGTCCATTTTCCTAAAATAAAGGTCACTGAGGAATTGATAGGATGACCTGTGTAGACTGTTATTGCATGTCAGATATCATGTATGCATATATATGAAACATTGGGCCAAAAACTTTATTTAGCAAATTGATTGCCATGGATTAATCCGAGTAAACTTGACATGGGACAGCAAATTCATTTTGCAGCGACCATATCTAGGACTTGTGACAACAATAGAAAAAAGGATTTTAGATTGGTGAACAATTTGATGTGTCACATGCAGACAGCCCCACAATAAAGTGTGTTCCACCTAAACTTGTTCTGCAACCACCATTCCAGGACCAGCATCTTAAAAGACATCATGAAAGAAGGGTGTCATTAGTGTGGCTTCTCTCTTGGTTCACACTAGAATAGGTTCTCATCAGACACATCTTTTACATAGTTTTAATTCCTCTTTCCTGAAAAGATGTTTTTCTATGTAAGTCATGTTCATGTTACTGTTTGATCATAGTTTTCTGCATTAATGTCTCCAAGATAATTGGAAACATGACAATTATGGCTTTTATAGCACATAGGATTATCATGTGTTTTGCAACTTGCATAGCTCTTAGTATTTGCTCCTTGGTCAGGAGAGTAGAAAAGCTCAGTACTATTATTCTAGATCTTCAACAAGCCCTCAACTTGAGATGAAGATATTCTTGTTAAGCACCCGTAGTTAATGAATTAAAGACTGTCCCTACTGGCCCTATAGACAACAGGAGAGTCAGTCAACAGATAATTCAAGGTTCAAACAATCAATGTTGACTGGACTCAATCTTTTATTATGTTGGAGAATATTGTCATACCAAGTTAAATTATGTAACTTAAAAGAAGTAACACTTTGACCATGGACTAGAAATGAACAGAATAGCCTTTTTTTTTTTATAGGACTTGAACCAAGAATTAGTACTCTGTTCCATGTCACAGGAAGGTGTGGGAGTAACCTGTCACTTATCTAATCCTCTTACCACACAATTCAAACTTAATTTCTAGCACAGTAAAGCAAAAAATAAAGGGAGCAGAAGAGGATAAGATCGACGCAGTGTCACTGTAGGCTTGAAAAGGAGAGTGTCTTGACAAAGTGTGGAATTTGTCCAGGACAAATTGGAAGCCAATTGGCTCTTCTTTTATCTTCTTCTCTTTTGTCAGCCTTGGGTATATTCACAGCATTTTCTTGTGCTAAAAATAGGACCAATTATGTGATGTTGGTGTTGTTTCACCATCCACTGCTGTCATTCGATGTTTATATGCTGCTAATTCGATAGTTGCGTCCGCCTACCGGCAACTCTTGTGTCAGCATATGAACTCGGCTTCTTTCTTTCATTCTCTTTAGCCTCAGCTTGTAGCCGAGCCATCATGTCTCAGTTAACATCAGTGTTTGGCCGCCAAGTCACTACGGGAGATAGAAAACAAAGAAAGCACACAGTGGCCATTGAAAGGCCAAGCCACTTGGCCGCCAGGCAGCATCAAGACAAGTTCCTCTATGGACAAGCAAAATTATTATTACTATGTTGGCACATTGAAAGGGTAAATCCAACCCTCTATATCACAACTGCTTTATGGTCACCCAACTGCAGGCACACAGTGGCCACCAACGCTGCCTGCCACACTTATAAACTTGATAGGGACCCCCTTCCAGAAAAGCTCACGTCCATTTCAATGAATAAAGCAGTCTGGCAGGCAGTGTGGGCGTGCGCTGCAAGTGGTCTCTGTTCACCCACTACTAGTGAGTTGCATAAGAACGAGCTATCTTCTTTAGGATTCACGAATTCACCAAAGTAGCTAATGGATAAACTTTGTCTTAAATTAAAAAAGTATATTAACTTTTCGTCTTTGAGCTAGAAAAGTATCTACGGTGTATGAACACCAAACTCCTGTTTGTAATTTAGTGAAAGTTAACTGTAACTGGTGCATTGTATGTGCCCTCTTATAGACCTTCATTGAATGGAGGTTGCTTTCATGAATTGACACCAAAGAAATAGTGGATATGAGAACTAGGGGAAATAATTGTTTACACAGTGGTTGAATGCATCAAGCCGCTCATTGGATGTAGAAATGTGGATCTGAGACAATCATTGATGTGGAACCCCCATACAAAACAGATGGACAGTGACCCCCATTCAAGGAAAGGACTGGACGAGTGCCACAGGGTGGCATCACCTCCTCCAACTTGGGTGAATCAGTCCAAACTCAAAGAGAGAGAGAGAGAGAGAGAGAGAGAGAACAAGAAGAACATGGACTAGGTTAAAATAAGTGTTCTGTGTTGTGAGCATCAAGTGACGCAAAAAGGAAAAATAAGAGTGCACTACCTAATTCCCATGATTTTAATACTTTTAAGGTTTTCATAAATTATTTTAATTAAAATATTTTCAGAAGACTACAAGGGATCCAAGTCTTCCTAATTTTTGACTTAACTTAGTGATAAAAATGGTTATGGTTGAGAGACAAAAGATGTCTTCCACTCAAATAAAAACACTTTCCTTGTCATACAAAGTCACTATCTATTCAAAATCAAGCATTTAATATATATATGACTTTCAAATAAGATATTTTCTCATCCAGCAATAAGATTTAAGTGGTTTATTAAATCATCTCTAAATAAGATTATCACATAAGTCTCAACAATTGTGGACTGATCATACCCAGATCATGAGGCCCCAAAATCTATTTTCTTGGGGTTACGATAAAATATATATCGGGCTCCAATGAATCAACTTGACAAAGCGTGTCATCCTATTTGGGTCTTGAAATTATTTGCCTTACTTTTAGCGCCAAATACGCCCCAAGCCATGCAAGCCGCCTGACGCCGAGCCGAGCCAAGCTGTTGTTTCTCCGTCACGTCATCTTATCCCACGGCGGCAACGTCATCGTCTTCTCTCATCTTCTCCGGACGCCACGTGGCAAAAATATCGCCTAGTACACTATCTGCTCTCTCCTTCGATGGCTCCACACCCTTGTCTCTCTATAAAGATTCCTGTTACTTCCTCTTCCTTCCCTGGTTAAACGCCCTCTCTCTCTCTCTCTCTCTCTCTCTCTCTCTCTCTCTCTCTCTCTCTTGCTGCTGCTGGAGGATGGAGAGACTCGGTGTCCACAGGAAGCGCCTCAAGCGATCCAAGGGGAAGACGAAGCCGATCAAGGTGGTGTACATAGCGAACCCAGTGAGGGTGACCACCAGCGCCGCCACGTTCCGTTCCCTCGTCCAGAAGCTCACCGGGCGGGACGCTGACACGGCCGAGCTCGACACGACGAGCTGCTCTTCACCGTCGGAGCCTGCAGATGATGCCTCGACGGCGTCTGCGCCGGCCTCGGTCGCGAGCCCCGACTCCGGTGGCTCGGTCCCGTCAGAGCCCAGCACGAGCGGCGGCGTGCGGCCGGATAACAGCCTGGTGGCTCCGGTGGAGGTGTTTGAAGAGGGCTTTGATGCACAGATGATGGGGAGCTTTCCTGGCTTCATATCTTCGATACTGTGTTATGAGCCTCGAGTCGCAGGACTTGAGGGTTTCACTCTAGTGTGAATTCTGGATGTGATTTGCCATGGCTGATGTTTATAGTTCCAGCTAGTATTGTCAATGCCCTTTACTTTGCATTTGCAAGCTAATTATTGCTTTGAGTGTGGAATTTTGTGAAAGATTTATTTATGTAGCTAAAAAAGCATTGAGATTATACGTAGTAGATGTACATAAAATATGATTAGTAAAATCGGTTGCATATGTTATATGGATGAAAACTTCCTAAGTTATGTATCTTTTAACCATTGCCAGATTGATGGTTTATACTCTGTATACCACTCACTGTATCTTCCACTTATATCCTAAAAACAAAATTAGAGACCTCTTGTGTTTTGACAACCACACTCTTAGCAATTTTAGATCAGCAAAATGGTGTAAAACTTAGATATATATAGAATTCAAAGTCAGAAAATAAAAGCAGTTATAACATAAAAGAAATTATTTAATTAGTCATCAAATTAAACCAAACATTATGTAGAAGAGACCACTGTGGTTAATTTTTCTTTTTTCTTTTTTTTTGGCACTAATAATTTTAGAAGCTCTCATATGATGGAAAGAAGTATATTAATAGTTAGGCTTTTTTTTATTATTAGTATATTTCAAAATTCAAATTAATTATAGATAAACCATATTTGTAACTATTAGTCTAAGTTTTTTGGATGGTTATTAATATCAAAATTATTTGAAGGGACATATAAGTTATATTAACAAATGTATAAGGGTAAATACGTTATTTCAAAATTTTGCGTACGCAAGAAAAGAAGTTTTTTTTTTTTGTTTATTATAATTTTATCGGTTTTTAACCGTCTCTGAAGTCTCTCAGAAATCTCTCTCTCCGTAGCTCCTTTTCCGCCGCCTCTCGACACCCACTTCCCGCCGCCGGGCGCAGCCGCGGTCGCAGCAAAAGGAGCTTCGAATCCATCGGGTGGACAAGGGGGAGGCGATGGGGAACGTGAGCGGGAGGGATGAGATCGAGGACGGTGGCGACGATGACCCCTCCTTCCGATCGAGGTCCGATGCCGATCCCGGCTCCATCCACGTCAGCCGAATTCGATCGGTCGATTCTGCTGAGGGCTGGCCGCCGGAGAGTCCCGGACGATCCCGATCGCCTCTCGTATTCGCCCCCCAGGTGATGTTCACGAACGCCGTGTTGGTGATTCTTTGCCTGTTGATGATTTTTTTTATTATTTTCTTCTCAATTTAATGAATCCATCAACGAATTTAGACAGCTGAATTCAGAATTTTAGACAATAATGCCAGATTAGATTAGGCTATAAATGTGATGTGTTGATTATATTGGGAGGTGGCTACAACTTGTCATATTTTAGGTTATGACGTTGGTATTACTGATTTGAATGTGAAGTGAATAGGATATGAGGATGTTAATAGCTTTCAAGTTCGGTATTTGTTTTGTTTTGCATAAATAGACTGATAATGTTAGCGAGTTATTCCCCGTAATTGCTTTTCCAAGCTTGTGCGGCGGTAGAATATAAAAGGATTAGTAGTTACTTCGCTGTGAAATATTTGAACAATATTTTTCTTAGGATCATAGATTGGGTTATTATATGGCATGCTTCAAGAGTGTCACACCAGGATATGAAATCTTAAGGAAGTTTTCACTAAAGAAATTAGGTTTACTAGATTGATTTGATCATGGATTATGTTGATTATGTTGCCAGAGAGGTAATTATTCGACATTTGGCTATCTTCTATAATTGTATTTCAGAATTGCTACATTGAGGAGCTATTGCAATTGGTTCACTAGCGATATTAAGAATGCCAAAATGGAAGCCCGTTTTGCATATCTAGCAAGCAGAGAATTGCCAGAGCGATGTGGTTACATGACCATCTCCATGGATCCAGATGGTAGCCTACCACCTAGTGAAATTGTATATCCTGGATGATTAAATTTGCTTTGACAGGTTCTTGGCAGTTATAGTTGATCGTTAATTTTGCAAAACTGACTGAGGATCAATGCTTTCAATTTTGTGTAGCTGTTATTGGTTGAAGGAAACATATTAGTTTCAGGGTATAAATATGGAAGTATATGTATGGTCAAATATGGAAGTCTTTGTAAGAATCTGTAGAAAGTAGAAACTCAGCAATAAATCTATTTTTAAATATTATGAAATCTACAGGAAACCATATTGCTAGCAGTTCAAGCAACTGGAAAATAAAAGATTTCTGAAACTTACAGAACATATCAGTCAATCTACAAGATGAGAAACTCAAAGCTCTAATCATTCTGAGCATGTATTGTCTCTTGCAGCTCTAGAGAAAAGGATTTATTTAGTGAACAATGACAGCAGTTTTGAAAAAGGAAGAAATTAATTAAGTAAATGTCCAGACTCAACCCATCTGAAATGCATGCACTTACCTGGTATCACCTAAAGTTCACTTATTTTACCTGGTTCACCCATGCTTACAGGATTATTTTATTAATTAGTGCACTTTATCATGATCTCTACAAATGACCATATGGGCTCTGGAAGTGATAAAGGTTGCCTCCATTTGAGGAGCTGCAATTGAGGGAACATACATTTCACATACAATTTTAAAATGTATTGATTTTATTGGTAGATGGGCTAAATTATAAGTCGATTAATCTTGTGGCTGTGATAAGAGGTAGAAAATGTCCAAAACCAATTTGGATAAAAATAGTAAAATACTTAAGCAAAATAAGAAAATGTAGGAATATGTTCACTTAATAGAGCTCATTGGCAGAAAATCATTTCCATGATTAATGCTGAGTAGTTGCCTTAGAATTCTCTTATTCCTTTTTTTTTTTTTTGCATCTGGGCCCTTATTCTTTCTTGTCTAAATTGTGATGGTTTGAAGGGCATTGTGCATCAATTGGAAGGATTAGGACACTATGGATGTGAACCATGTCCGTGAGCTTTTATATCTTCTTGTTGGTAGTTGACATACAATTGTCAATTTTGAGTAGCTGCTAGAGTTTGCAATCGATTCCTTGGCTGTTTACAGTTTGTACAGGAACTTTAGTTTGGACCTCTCCAATTTGGATTTTATGTTATTGCTAAGTTGCACTTTATCTTTATGCATGTCATATGTTTACTTGATTATCAGTGGGATCATTTCTTTAGAGTTTTAATCTGCTTGTTTCTGTTCAATATGTGCTTATTAAATGCCATTTAGAAAGAACAATTTGATGGTTTCACAAATAGCTTTTTATAGTATTATTGTTCCTTTTAAGGAGGCTTGATTACTCCACATTGGTAGCGTTGGCCAATTCATATGGCACAGAATTGCAATAATCTATTGTTTCTGTTTTGAACCCTTTTTTTTATTTCAGGAATTTGCATTGTTCCCCCCGGTCTTTTGTGATTCTTGTTTATGTGAAACTATAATAGTTATATAAAATTGAGAATGTCCTTGTGCAATTTCCCAGCAAGTCTGGCCAGATCCTGTAGAAATGATTGTTTTGTGATTGAACCTGTTTACTCTGTGTTCAGATAAGGTGATCCTAAAAATTATGGTTGAGTTTATTTTCAGTGAAGGACCAAGATATAAGATTGATAATATATGTGCATATTCTACTTCATCTATGCTATTTACCATGTTGCAAATTCTTTTTATGGTTTTGCCCAGAAGTATTGGTTGTGATGGTGTCTCTTGTTTATAGTTCTTTCTCAATTAAATCCACTTAGAAAGTTCATTGCATAATTCGTCACACTAAGTTAAAAGATACACCACACTCTGTTTTCAGTCTTAGAATAAAGTCACCTGGAATTGAATTAGCATTTGACACAGAACCTTTTCGTAAGTTAGTGCAGCGGATGAAAGGTATTCATACAACCACTGATCTTGCATAAATGTTGTCAGCTGTTTCTTTTCCTTTTAATCTTTGTATGCCTCTATAATTGAAACCACGATTGCGTTAATGAGCTATCACAACAGTTTTGCCAAAAGGTTTCTCTTTTACTTCTCTCATACAGAGCACATGCAGAAACCACTTGATGCAAATGGGTGGAAAACTTGGCTTGCCTTGTTTTATAGTTGGCTTCTTTCTAAAGAGATAAGCTGCACCTAGAACACTTTCATCTTTGCATATTTAGATTGCCTATAAAAATTGAAATAGGTAATTTACGATGTTTTTGGTGACCCATGCTTCCTCTTTTTCCTTTTGCTGTTTTATTACAGTATTTATCTTCTCTTTGATGTTATTCTTGTTTTCTCAAAAAAATGATATCACCATTTATTTAAAATGCTTTTTCTTTTTTCAATCTTTTCTTTCAACCATAATCTTTTGTTTTATTACATTGACCTTCTCTAGACCCCGCATTAGCAGGAGCCTCATGCACTAGGTACGTCTTTTTTTTCTTTCAATCTTTTAAAGTATATTATAACAAAAATAACAAAAAAGTCATAAAGTTCCAACTATTTAGAATCAGCTACATGGATCTTTTGTTGTTACTTGTATACTTATGTGAATAAATGCCTCATGTTTTGAAAAGGCAGGATAGTTCACCTATTTCAGACATGTCTACATAAACAGTTAAACTAGTGTTTGGTGGTTAAGCCTGTTCACTGGTGCTCCTTTCTTGGATGTTATCACAATTTAATATCTTCTGCTTTCCTGACCTCTATTCTCATAAAAAAATTTATTATGGTTTGTTTGTTTTCAGATAGGTAGAGTATATAGATGTTAAAACTATGTTGATCAGTCTCACTAGGGTACAACGACTTTTATTTTCTCTAGCTAGTTGATTGAGCAATCATATTTATAGTATTTCACAGAATTTTCTTTTGGGTGTTTGTTATACAGTTTTCAGCAGGTTGTTCTTTTCATTCTTGAATACTTTTAATTGAACAACATTGTAAAGAATTTTGCTTCCTGATTTAATTATTGTACATGAAAGAAGTATCGCAGTATATTAGTTCTATATGTTCACATTCTTCTAGTCTTTTATATGCTTGTGAATGGGTCATGGTCGATTGATCTTTCTTTAACAGTGGCCATTTGACATCCTTTCTTTATAATAATATATTGTTATGACCACAAAAATGGGGACTTAAGAATAGAAATGCTTGTTCTGTTCATCTAATATACTTGATTATGAAGAACAGTTTAAAATCCGATGGTCAACATTGGAGCCATCTACGTATTATGCTTTAGAATTTTCTAATTGAATGCCATAATTCGAAAACATAATAAATAATTTGCAGATGTTAATTGTGATA